GGAATCATATACAGCGTTTTTTTGTGTCTGGTTGATTTCACTTATCTATGGTGTAGTACGTGTCAGAATTACATTCTTCTTTAACGTGTTTTTAACCTTTCCACAGCTCTGCTTGTATTGAAGCTCTTTCAGCAATAGGATGGTTGGTAAAAGGGCAAGTCTTGTCAGCTTTCTGTGTTTATCTGTAACATGGTTCTAAGGACTGTCCTCTCTTTCAGACATATCCAAGCAGGCACAGGAGGGATAAAGGCTGGAGGGGGTGCTATGGCAACAGGAGGGCCCTGCCTTTTATAAAGATGGCCACTGGTACTCAGTTCCAATCCACTCTTTCCAGTGTGTGAGGCAGGCCCAGAAGTGCATGTACAAATCTGATGTTCATATGTTGGCCAATGCTGTTGGACCAAATGGAACCTATTTGCGGGCCAGACTTGGCCCACAGGCCACCAGCTAGCCATCTCTACTGAATAAAGAGCTAATTTTAGTGTGACTTCATTCATTCAGACAATGAATGTTTAGACTACACATATAAGTAAGCTTTGATTTAAAAAGCACATGATAGCAGAGAGAAACACTTGTGACATAAATGCTAAAACAGAGAAAGGACAATAATGACTTACATTTATTAGGTACTTCCTATGTGCCAGGGAGTTTTAAAAAGGGCTTTACGTACATTAACTCATTTAACTCGTTTAAATGAGTACATTAACTCATTTAAACCTTACAACAGTCCCATTTCCATTTTAGAAATGAAAAGACAAGCACAGAGCAGTCAAATCACTTGCCTGTGGTCATGCAGCTACAAAGTCTGAGGCGGAATTTGAGCCCAGAAGGTTCCAAAGCCCAAGGTCTCCACTGGAAAGGGGGTGGAGGTGGGGTGGTATAGGGTTAACCTGGGGATCTGTGAAGAATTCCAGAAGAGGTGACTTTTGACTTGTTTTGAACGGTGATTTCAGCAAACAAGGGCCGGAGGGCAACCCAGGTAGAGGATACAATTTGAGCCAGGGATCAAACAGTAAGATTGGCAGGAAATGAGTCTAAAGAGGTCGCGGGTCTCCAATGCCTCTCTTTCAACTGCTTGTTTTCAGGTCAGGTATCAGCTCACTGACAGCTCACGTCCCAGTACTAATAGCAGAAGTAAGAACTGCGCAGTAGCAGAACATTTACAAGTTCCAGGCAGCAGAGCAGGTGGGCCCGGCTGTCGCCCCAGCACATCCGCGTCCACCCAGCCCACGACCCCACTGGGGACTACAAGTCCCGTCATGCAGCGGGGCGCGCCGGGAGCCCGCGGCCGGCCGCGCCCCCTCTGGCCCCGCCCGACCCCGCCCCTCGCGCCCGCAGCCCCCTCCCGCCCGGTTAGCCCCGAAGAGTTGCCCGGTGGCCGTGGCAGACGGAAGCCGAGCGAGAACCTTGGCGGCGGCGGGATGGGAGACTCCAAAGTGAAAGTGGCCGTCCGGATCCGGCCCATGAACCGCAGAGGTAAGAGCCGAGCCCGCCCGGGGCCGCCGCGGCGGAGGCGGCAGGTGCCTGGCGCGTCCTTGCCCTCGCCCCGGCCGCCGTGTGGGGTCCGGCCGGCTCCGCCCCTACGGTCCGCGTCCCGGCGGGCGGGAGGCCGGCGCGCCCCGAAACCTCGTCCCCCGCTCGCCCGCCCCGCCTGCGCGGGACGCCCCTCCCCTCTCCCGCACCGCGGCCCGGGCGCCGCGGCCCCACGTCCCGGTCCGCAGCCCCTTCCGCCGGCGCGCCCGCCGCGCCGCCCTTTCGCCCTGTTGCCTCCCCTGCCCTCCGGGAGGGCGCTCCGTCCCTGGCTCCGGACGGCTTCCTCCTTCCCCCGCGCCTGCCCCTCGGCCCGGGCCCCGCGTCCCTGCCGTCCCCTGCCAGCTGTCAGCGCGGCCTCCGCCCCTTGCTCCGCACCCCTTCGGCCTGGCCGGGACAGCCGCCCTCCGAGGCCCCGCGTCTTGGCCCGGTCACCCCAACCCTGCACTTCGGTGGCCCGCGGCAGGAAAATGGCAGGGAATGTGGTTCACTCCTGAGAAAGCACTCGAGTGCAAAAATTCCTCGTCTTGGTGTTTCACTTCGTGTTCCTTTAACCTGGACGGTCGTGAGGAGTTGTAGCTGCTTTGACTGGAGTTGGGTAAAGAGCACACCCCACTTTTTTGTCAAGAAAGTTGTGTTTGCTTGAAGTCATTCGTCATCTCGCAACAATAAATAGTTTTAAGTGCCAAGATTCTTGTGAAATTGTATCTTTCAGACATTGTCACAGTTCTTCAGGGAGGGTAGAGGGAGCAGATAAACCGAGTACATTTCAAATCATCTTTAGACAGATGCAGTGGAGAGAACCCCAATTCCAAGTCCCAAGACGAGGTGGGCTGGGTCTTGGCCTTAATGCTAAACTAGCAGCGGGACTGGGTGAGTAATTTTAATGAGGTAATATATTTGCAAACATTTTCTGTAGGGAGTTATATTATTGGGGTCACTACGACAATCCCAGGGGAATGACTTCAATGGATAAGACTTAATCAGAATCCTTTGTAAGTACCAGACTCATCCAAGTTGTTTTTGCAACCCCTGTGTTCAAAAATTAAGTGTCGCTTTAACTTTCCTTATAAATTACAAGTTGTTTTCCAACTTTCCTTTCCTTGGGTGTCTTGGATATATTGAGATACACAGATCAAGCAGTTGACATATGGGGTTTGTTCCTTTGGAAGTTGATTTCCCTCTTCTCTTAAGAGTCATCTTTTCTTTTGGAGTTAGTGATTCCTCTTGTCCCTGCTAGGTCTGCTCTAAGGCTGTCAGGTGATGTAGAAGACTTTTCCATAAGAACTTCCAACTAGTGCCTGTTTTGGGTCTTCAGTCTTTGCCTCACTAGTTCCATGCTCTGCCATAATGAAAGTAACTTACTTGAACGCTGAAAGTTTTCAAAAGCTGCTGTTGTTAAGTGCTCAGGCATTTTTATTTAAATTCACCTCGTTTATTTAAAAAAAATAGCCACATAAAACACAATTTACTGGGATTTGATTCTGAAAGAATGATTTCAGCACATTCTTAAAATTTCCTTTTCACAAAAAACTTGGAAATGCCAGTGTTAAAAAGAGGCAGCTAACCAGCCACCTCAAAAGACTATCTCAGATCATTAAAATCCTCCCCACTTCCTTCCCCCATGGGTTTCCGTCTTTGAAGGGAAGTACTGCTTTTCTTTTTACCCATTAATTGTCATTAGCTAGATTGTATTAATTGTCAGTATCAGAGTTTTGAGGGATGGGTAGAATAATAGTTTTAGCTGTGAAATGGATGGTAGCTGTTTTGTCTGAACTCACTTTAAAATTAAGGTTCACACATAGATCCATTACCCTATAAGTAGAAGTGTGTTGTGATAAACTGCATCCTCATTCATTTAGTGTCTTCTTTTACCTAGCCTTGCATTTCCAGAATGCACATAGATGTCTTTTTTCAGTGATCACCACTGATAATTAAGGTTGGTTCTATTTCTGTTTTGCCTGTGAAACACTTGTTTACATGAATCTAGAAGTGATTATGGAGTACAGTGCAGTGGAATTCTAAAGCTAGTGATTTTGAAATTGCTGTCTACAGTTTAAAAAGGCTAAAACAAAACTATATTCCTTTGTAATGTTGGAAAGAATCATATTACTTTGACCAATTATTCTGGGAAAACAGTGTATTAAGTAATAGCATATAATTATGGCAAACAGTAAACTTTTAGCCATAATAATTGTTTCTCTCAGCATATTAGTTCAGGAAACAATCTCAGAAGTCACTCTTCACAGGTAAGAATGAGATGAGAATGAGTTTCTGGGTTGATGTAGTTTTACTGTATAAGACTCTGAGATTTAGAATCACAATAGCTGCTTTTTGAGGAAAATCTAAAATTCGCAGGAAACTTCTAGTGTACCGTTAAGTTGTTCATGTGGCTCAGTATCTGATTGTTCTTATTAGTCTTTTTTGCTAAATCATATATGTGTTTGGGAAACTTTCTAATTTGAACATTAAACATTAGGCCCTAATTCAGTAATAGCAAGAGTTGTGATGGCTAATGAATATGCTTTTGTCAGTAATATTTTTCTTGTTCTACATTTTAACATTGTACTAACAAAACAAAAATAAAAAGGAAAAAAGTTTCTGACATCCTTACATCTTAGCAGTTCACACTCTCATTTCCTTAACTTCCAATCCAGTTTGCCTTCACATGCATATGCAATTTTACATAGACTTTAGTATTACAGGTTTTATTTTTGCTTTTCTTCATCTGCAATAAGAACTTTCTAAACAAGCTAAACAAAAAGGGATAAACCTGTTTTGTCATGAGAACTTGAAGTCCTATTTGCAGATATTGTTTGTCTTCTCATGTTATCTTCCTGACTTGTCCAACTCACCAGGTGACTCTGCATGTGTTCTTCTAGGCACTATAAGGAACACCCGTTCGTACATTATTAACCAATCTAGTTATTAAATGAGCTGAAAGGTTTACAAGCATAAGTGATGGTATTAGCTAGATCAGTGACACTCTTCTGTTCAGGACTTTGATATTTTTAAACTTTAGATGGTTTAAAAAATATTTAATCTTTATTGAGTGCCTGTCAGGTGTCTAGCTTATATAAGATAGTGTGGGACCTTATTGCCTTTCCTCAAGGGCCTTCCCATATTTAAATATGTAAAAGATCAATGACCGAAATAAATAAATCTATATAGAAAGCGTTTGGAAAATGTGTTCACTATATATTTAACCTTGGGTGGAAAAACCAGAAATTATACTAGAAATTTAGTTAGAAAAACAGTGTAGTGGGTTATTTCAGGTGTTAGGGAACATGGACAATATATTTATTTCAGCAGGTATTTCTCAAGGGTTTACTTTGCATTTTACAGTACTTCATATAGTGAAAGACACAAAGAAGAATGTAGTGTCGAATAGAAATCAGTGCTTGAGTAAATCATGTCTGTTAGCTCAGAGGAAAGACTATTATATAGCTATTAAAAATGCTGAACATCAAAACCATTTAGCAAGGAAGACTGTTTTCTGTTAGCAGAAAAAGCAGAAGATGAAACAGTCTGTGTAACTATGATCAAATCTGTTATGATTATTACTATGTAAAAATGTAAATAGGAGTGGACAAGGGCTAGAAAGAAGCATGAAAAAATGAGATTGATTATTCTTTTCCAGGGAATTTTATTCTGAAAAACTTTCTTTTTAGTGTTGTCTAATGTTGTAGTATTAATTTTTTTGAAGTTCGTGCCCTCGAGGAAATGAAGAGGTAAGATTAAAAGGTAAGCACCCGTAGCGGGTTGCTAGGTGAGTGATTAAGTGCCAAGGGAGTCATAGGGAAATACAGGAATTCAGAGGAGTGGAAGGACCTTGGAAGCTTGATGATTAGGGAAGCCTTCTGGAAGGTTAGGGAGAGAAATTTGATTAGACTAGAGGGAGAAACTGATGATTGTCATGAGTACACGGTAGGAGGGGAGGGGGAAGTACGGCCAGAGCAAAGGCACACACAGGAATGAGCCAGGCAAAGCTAGGCAGCCGCCAGGACGAGCCTGCCACCCGTTGGGGGTCCCATGGCAATGGCGTTGACTAGAGATTGCAGGGAGCCCTGAATGCTGGCTAGGACCCAAGGTGGGGCTTAGGGTGGCAGGTCCCTGTGCTCTGTTTAGCTTTTTAGAACTTCGTTTGGGTCTTGGACACAAGCATGAAGGAGAACGATTGCCGGGTCTCCGGGCGAGGGAGAAGGCCTGGGTGGGTGACCTATTCAGGGCAAAGCTGGCCACTCTTCAAGAGCGTGTGGTGAGTGAAGCCGAGTGAATAGGAACAGCAAGGAGGACGGCCAAAGCTAAGTGAGCAGTAGTGGACCAAAAAACAAGGTAAATGAAGAAGGAGGAGGATACTCTGAAGACTGTGGCAGTCACTGAAGTCACTGGTGACCCTTAGGAAATGAGGGCCACAGTAGGAAGGGAGAATCTGAAACAAGAAGGTGTTTTTGTTCCTGAGGCCATGGCAGGTGCTTAAGCCTTCTCAGAGAGATAACTGAGATTACAGTTAAGGATGGCTGTGGATGGAAATTTCTGACATGTTTTCTGAAACAGAAGATACTTGTTTTACTAGCATCTGCTTGATATGCTAATGAGAATGAGACACATCTCATACAACATGTTTTGTTCCTACTGTCAACTCAGTGACTGAAATTGGGATTTATATACATAGGGCAGGGAACTTTGGAGAAGGAAGTACACATTTACTAACAAAATACACTAAAAATTTGTTAGAATTGGCATTTTATGGCCTTACCTCTGTAAAACAATGGCTAATGTCTGACTTTTAATTCTTTAAGTTTTGGAGATAGAAGAAACCACTGATGAAACTATTTGTTATGCAGATTAATTGAGACCTGTAATGACTGGAGATGGATTTACTATTGATCTATATGCTTGCTGATCAGGTACCCTTTGTGTTCAACAGAACTGTTCCTTAAAAACCTTGACAAAGATGAGCAATGTAACCCTATGGGAAGTGTGTGAAACGGTCTCTGGGACACAATTCCATGAGTTAATTGGTACTGGACTTGAACTCTCAGAAGCTGTAGATATCTTTAAAAGATGGTATTAGTCCATTCACTTCAACACATGATGATTGAAGAAAAATAACAGCTACTTTTTTAGAGTTTTCTGTTTGTAAGCTACAGTGTTCAGTACTTTTTATATGTTATTTTATTCCTCAAACCAAACTTTGAAAGCTAGTTATAGAATTTCTGTTTAATGAAATATCAGACAGGTTATGTAATTTTCCCAGAATTACAAAACCAGTATTTTGGAGCCTGAATTTCACCTACTTTGTCATGAAAGTCTGTGCTCTTTCTACTATATTGGACATGATGATCTTTAAAGGGGCCTTGCATTCCTGAATTCATATAATTTTCAAAGATGTGCAGGATATATGAGAAGTATAAGTCATGATTTTGGTCAATGGAGCTTTTGTTGCTTTGGTAGTAAGAGATGCCCAGGTGAGTCAGTTATAAGAATATATGTATACAGTGCAGTGGTGACAGTGCGTTATGAGCTAAGAAGTGTGAGTGGGATTTGAGAATGAGTAGGAATGAGTTGAAGACAGTGGGCAGGGCGGGAAGCCTGTCAGGTAGGGTGCACAACACAAGTTGTTGGAATTAGCAAAACATTCATGTCGGAATCAGCAAGACGTTTGCAAGAACAGTGAAGAAGTCCACTGTAAAAGCTCAGACAGCCGGAAAGAGACAGTGTCTGTATAATTAACAGTTACTGTGCACTGACACTGTCCCAAGCACTCAACTAGATTATTTCAGTCAATCCCACAACAGTTCTGGGAAGCATTTACGTTTTAACTCCATTTTACAGACTAGAAAACAGAAACTTAGACAAGCCTTGGTAGC